GTACTTCGTCTGCATTTTCAAAAATATTTTTTAAATGCTACATACTTAGATTTGAAATGTTACTAAATAACAAAATATGATGTTACATACTTCGAAGTCAGTGAGGCGGGGTGGCAAATCGGCTTCAGATTCCTCGCCGTGCTTCGTCCAGCAATGCTTGACGAGCCGGAGAACATCAACCCTCTTCTTCTCAGGACCAGCCTAAATGGTGTGAAAAAGACTTAAGTAAATTTTTTATAATGAAGGACTGTGATGTTGTAAGGTTTTTTGAATAGCACTTACAAGAGTTTCTTTATGGGCATTCTGAGATTTACGACCTCCGTGCCACTGCATCTCCAAGGCCTTCTCGGACATCCGGTTTTTCTTACCGGATTCACTTCTAGCCAAGAATTTCGGATCAGAAGACCAGTGGCGACAAAGGTTGGACCACACTTCATCCGAAACCCATTTAGGTTTTTTCCCACTTTTTCGCGCACGTTTAAAAGTGGCGCGAAGCCAGGTCGAAATCCTAGCATTGTAGGCTTTAAGAATATCGGCACCGTTTGCGTGAGTCCAACGATAGCGAGCCTTTATTAAAACAAATTGGATTAATTAATCACCAGGTATATATTAGGCCAATACAATCAGGGAGGGAACATTCATTTATTTTTACCTTGAACAGGTTCCACCATAGTTCGCGAACCTTGGGGTCAACATCCGACAGCGTGGCCCAAGTGCCAAGAAAGTGTCCTCCGATTATGCTTTTGATGCCTTTGAACACTTGTTCGTCACTTAAAAAAATTAATAGTATTTATTTATATAAGATTTGGTTAGATTATTTAACATTATATAAAATTATTGAAAATAAGGTTTTTTCATAACTACTTACAAAAGAACTTCTGCAGGCGTCACCCAAACAGCTCCATCGTTGTTGCGCTCCGCTTCGGACATGGGCGCATAGTTAGGGCGCGGAGCCGAGGTCGATTGTTCGTTGCTCATCTAAAATATATTGATTTATTTTTTTTTTTGTTAGAACGCTTATAATAAGAACATCAAATTGTTATGTAAGTATTATCAATTGTCAATGTATATAACATTTTAAAATGGGTATAAGTTTAATATTAGGGTCCAATAATTGCTAATAAACAAATACTATAATTATCAAGGAGTTGACACAGTCGACCGAAAAATCAACCGGTTGGAGCTTATCAATGAGTTGACCCAGTTGATTCATTGATAAACTCCATTCTGACGATTCTTCGGGCTACGACTTGAACCATGGATGGGCTACATCACATGTAGCGACATAATGTCAGTACATGCGCTTGGGAGAGTCCATCGATGGCTCAAGCCATAGCCAGAAGAATCCACAGATTGGAGCTTATCTAAGAATTGACTAGGTCAACTCATTGACAAGCTCCAACTGATCGATTCTTCGATCGACTGGGTCAACTCATTGATAAATTATACGATGAGTTTATTAGAAATTATTGAACCACTCATATTAAACTTATACACAGTTTATTAAATTTTTATAGGGAAAAATAATAAAAATACCCCAAACTTTGAAGGGATGTGACAAGAGCACCACAAACTTTCATATGTAATTTAAATATCCCAAACTTTATATAAAGTTTGGGGTGTTTAAATTACTTATGCAAGTTTGGGGTGCTTACCTCACACCCTTTCAAAGTTTGGGGTATATTTATTATTTTTCACTATAAAAATTTATACAAGTATTATCATAAATTGCCCTTGGAGGTAACATGAGGGGTCCATATTTTTTCATAATAAGTTCTTCTATATGAGGGGTCCATATTTTTTCATAATAAGTTCTTCTATAGCATATTAAACTATCTATTAGTTTAATATGAGGGGTCCATATTTTTTTACAATAAGTTCTTCTATAATTTGGCAATAAATTGCCCTTGGAGGTAACATGTTAAACTTTTTGCAAAGTTTACATGAGAGGAGATTATTTTTTTATGTTTTAGATATATCATTTTAAAATAAATTCAAAACAGTTTGTTAAATCAAGTTTTTAAAACAGTTTTTATTAAAACAGTTTTTATAAAAACAGTTTTTATAAAAACTGTTTTTATAAAATCTGTTTTTATAAAAACTGTTTTTTACAAAAATCTGTATAATAAAACAGTTTATATAAAACAGTTTATATATATCAATTTTTATAAAAACATTTTTTTAGATAAATTATAAAAACAGTTTATATTAAAAGTGTTTGTATAAAAACAGTTTTTATTAAAACAGTTTTTATTAAAACTATTTTTTACAAAAATCTGTTTAATAAAACAGTTTTTAATTAACAGTTTTTATAAAAACAGTTTTTATAAAAACAGTTTTTTTTAGATAAATTATAAAAACAGTTTATATAAAAACTGTTTGTATAAAAACAGTTTTTATAAAAACAGTTTTTATATAAACAGTTTTTATAAAAACAGTTTTTATTAAAACAGTTTTTATAAAAACTATTTTTTACAAAAATCTGTTTAATAAAACAGTTTTTAATTAACAATTTTTATAAAAACAGTTTTTATAAAAACAGTTTTTTTAGATAAATTATAAAAACAGTTTATCTAAAAATAGATTATAATTTAACAGTTTATAATATAAAAAATAAAAATAATTTTTTATGCTTATACTATTATAAAAAATAGTGTTTCGTCCAGTTTTTTTTTCAGGAATAAATTTAAATGTTTAATATTTTGTTAATGGATATTACGGAAATTATAATTAAACGTGTTAAACTATTTTTGGAAGTTTAACACGAGGGGCTATTTATTTAAACAGTTTTTTTAAAATATTTTCATAAATTAAATATTTTCGGAAATAAAATTTAAAGTAATACATATGTATAGAGAGGCATGCAAATCAAACACTAAACATATATATTAAACATCGTACTAATTGTATAAGCATGCATTAGTTCGACAACATATTGAGCAAAATTTAAATAAAAAAAGAATATAATATATATGAACATATATTAAACATAAAATAATCTAAATCATTTAAACATAATTATCATGCATACCAAACATATAAACCGATATTATCATGCAAAACTACAAATCATGCATATAATAAATCATACATACAACATTTGAGTATAGTATCATGCATTTTTGGATTTTATATCAAATATTAGCAAATAAGATGAAAAGAACACATAACCTTGACTGAGAAAAGAAGGGGCTTCGACGGAAGGCGGCGGACGACGGCGGACGACTGGTTGTGGACGACGGCAACGGCGGATGCTAGGCGGCGACGGCGGCGGATGCTAGGCGGCGACGGCAGATGCTAGGCGGCGACGGCGACGGCGGCGGCACTAAGCAAACTGGAAGAGAAGGAAGAGAGAAGGAAGAGGTAGTTTAGGGTTTGAGATATCTGGGGTGCGTAGGATTTTTTAAAAAAATGCTAAGTGTTTGTTTTATATAATTGTTTAGTCACGGTCATAGTCACGGTCAGGACCGTGACTAAACCCTTCGTAATTGACGATGTCAGCGAGGCGGTCAGAGCCGCCTTTAATCGGAATAGTCACGGTCATTACCGTGACTATGACCGTGACTGTTTTCAAAATTTGAAAACAGTCACGGTCATAGTCACGGTAATGGCCGTGACTATTGTGGTCAGCGCCCCTCTGACCGTCGGCCCTGACTTCGGCATTTACGAAGGGTGTAGTCACGGTCGTGACCGTGACTACAACCGTGACTATTTAATTTATAATTTCATTTTCCTAACACCCAAGCATTTTATGCTAAAAAATGACTAATAAAGAACCAATTGACTGAGATATTATGCGTACAAGAATGTGTCGTCTGAAACTATGTACACAACTTATTGAACCGAAAAATGAATAAGGTGTTGTTCTGTTCGTCTTTGTGTTAGTTATTACTTATTGTTTATTCTTATTTTATTCAAATCAGATCAGATTAGAAAAATTCAGACATGATTTATTATTATTAATAATAATAATAATTATTATTATTCTTATTATTATTATTATATCGTTATAATAATATTAATTGTGTTTATATTACTATTATAATATTATAAATAATGTTAATATAATTATTAACATTATTATTATTATTATTATTATTACTATTGTAATTATATGAATAACTATTAATACCATCGTAATTGTAGTGTGGACTGTGGAGTATTAAATAAACTGCTTTGAATTTATGTGGTATAGAACAGATTAAGGAGTAATTATTTTACAAACAATAATGATGAAAGAAATTATCAAATATGCTTGGAGAAATTATATCACAAAATTGAAATTACAACAGCACAATTACTCGCTGTCAGAATCGTTATTTTCTACATATATAGTGTCTTCTTCTGTATCCGAAGCGTCTATCCATTCACCTTCTTCCTGATATTGAGCATTTTGTTGTGCTACATACATTTCCTCAATTTCGCGCTCAGATGGAATGGTTAGGTCCGGAAGGTGCGTTTCTGGCATGACTTCAACACGTCCGCCATTTGGATCACTTAATTGGACGTTATAGTTGACCGTCTCAGCAATAGGCGGAGGTTGGAAAAATTGTTGCTGAAAAGCATCTAGATCAACGTCCTTGTGTTGAGTTTGTGATTTAATTTTGTTCGGACGGACAGGACATGCACACACCCAAGGATTCTGGGTCCGCCTTGTTGTAGGATATTCTGCATAATAAATCTGCGCTGCTTGTTGGGCGAGTATGAAAGGCTCATTTTTCGGGTACACACGAGAGTGGTTGACGTCAATCATATTATACTTCGGATTTTTGCGCACGCCACGTGTGGGATCGACCCATGTGCATCGGAACAGAACGCATGTCATCTTTTGCGCACCAGAAGGCATATCAAGTTCCAGAATCTCCTGCAGAACACCAAAAAAATTTGTTTCCGAGTTATCATAACCGATGGTCGGGACACATAACTCGTTGTTCGTTGTTGGTCGACCATGTCCGTAATCGGCTGTGTGATATGTGTAACCATTTATCACATATTGCCGCCACACTTTGGCACTGGCACTTGGGCCCCACGCTAATGATAGTAACAAAGGGTCGACAATCCCACGACTATTGATCTGTAAATAAAAACATGATAATGACATTAGGTAAATATTGAAAAACTTAGTTAATAATTAACTACAAATTTAATGTATAAGTATTACAATTATAATTATATATATGTGTGTATATATATACCTGATACTTGTACCAATTTACAAAATCAGAGTCCACCAACGCATCAATTTCATTCTCAGGAAAGGCTGATAAAGAAGCTCGGAATTCACTGTGAAGTCAAAAATTAAAAAACTATAAATTAACTACAAATTTAATGTATAAGTATTACAATTATAACTACAAATTTAACTTACTGATAAAACGGTGAGATTTCTGGACAATTCATGAGGATATAAGTATGCGCAATTTGCAATTCCCCACCCAGGATGTATCGTTGTGTCGCAGCACCTTTACCTCTGCCTGGGTAATTGAAGATGGAAACTACATTTTCATATAAATCCTCGCCAATGTCATCGTTCCGGGCAGGTCTCTTCCTTCTGGTGATGACGTCACGCTCGAAGTAAAAAGACGAGAACGTTGAGATTTCTTGTTGAAGATACGCTTGACAAATTGAAGCCTCAACGTGTGCCTTGTTGGTCACTTTCTTTTTCAGCTCTCCTAGAAATCTGCAATAATGCAATAATACACATGTTAATAGTTATTGTGAAATAAATATTCTTTTTTAAATGAAATTGTGACTAACCTTTCAAATCTGTACATCCACCGATAGAAGACGGGCCCAGCAGTCAAAGCCTCATACGGAAGATGTATTATGAGATGTTCCATTGTATCGAAAAACGATGGTGGCATTATTTTTTCCAGATTACACATCAGAATGGGAACAGACTCTTGTAGTCTCCGGAGGGATGCCGCATCCAAAACGCTGGAACATATCGATTGAAACAACAAACTGATTTCAGTAATGCAGGACCATACGTGTTCAGGGAGCATCTCTTTTAGTGCAATTGGTAGAAGTCTTTGCATTATTACATGAGCATCGTGAGTTTTCATGCTCGTCGTCGTGGTAAGTTTGTTCATGTCTACGCATCTAGACAAGTTGGAGCAGTAGCCATCTGGAAACTTCTGAGACGCAAGCCATTTTAATATTGCTGCCTTTTGTGGTTCTGTGACCTGGTAGACTGCTTTTGGAACTTCCTTGCCCTGATATTCTAGATCAACAGAAAGTTCGGGTCTATCACACCAAATAGTCATATCTTTCCTAGCTGCAAGACCGTCTTTAGTTTTGCCTTTCAAATCCATCACCATGTTAAATATATTGTCAAAGACGTTCTTCTCGGTGTGCATGACATCTAAATTGTGACAGATGAGAAGGTCTTTCCAATAAGGCAACTCTCAGAATATGCTCCTCTTTGTCCACTTATGGGTATCACAATACCCATATGGCTCTTGGTTTGGCTCTTCCATAGCCGTAGGAAAACGTCGAACCCGGTTATAAATTTCTTCACTGGTCAATCTCGGGGGTGGGCTCTCTCGTACCGCTCTGCCTCTAATGAAAGACTTCTTGTCCTTTCGATATCGGTGCCTTTCCGGGAGAAACTTGCGGTGACAATCAAAGTAACTTCCTTTTTTGCTGTAACTGAGCCAGTTGGCACCTGATTTCTCCATGCATATCGGACATCCCATCAGACCGTGTGTGCTCCATCCCGAAAGCATGCCATAGGCAGGGAAGTCGCTAATGGTCCAAATGATGGCAGCTTTCATGATAAACATTTTATCAGATGAAACATCATAAGTTGGTGTCCCAACGGCCCACAATTCTTTCATCTCCTCAATAAGGGGTTGAAGATAAATGTCTATCTTTCGCCCAGGATCCTTGGAACCCGGACAAATTAAAGACAAAAAGATGAAATGACTTTTCATGCACATGTCGGGAGGGAGATTGTAAGGTGTTAACATGACCGGCCAACATGAATAGTTCTTGCCAAACCTGCCAAAAGGAGCAAATCCATCTGAGCACAATCCCAGCCGCACATTTCGTGGCTCCATAGCAAACTGAGGATGACAGCGGTCAAAGTGTCTCCAGGCTTCACAGTCCGAAGGGTGAGCCATCATACCCTCGTTGGTTTCGTGCTCAACATGCCATGTCATGTGTTTCGCAGTAGCAGTCGAAGCGTACATCCTTTGCAGTCGAGGAGCTATTGGGAGGTAATACAGTTTAGACAGTGCAGACCTATGTCGTGGTTTCTTTTTACCTTGACGAACAGGTTTGTATCTGTCTCCACCACAGAACTTGCAGAACTCAAGTGCCTCATCCTCCTTCCAGAACAACATACATCCTTCCGGGCACGCATCAATTTCAACACAAGGTAGCCCCAACTTAGACATTAACTGCTTCATGTGGTAATATGAATCGGGAAGGGTATGATCTCGCGGTAGCATCCCTCCTACTGACTGCAAGACTCTATTCATGCAAGTTTCAGGGAGACTGTATTCGGCTTTTATGTTCATGAACTCAGTAACAGCGGATAGCTGAGAGTATCCCTCACAATCAGCATACAAAGGTTGGTCGACAGCTTTTAGAACATCCTGAAATCTCTCAGCCAAACCTTCATCCACATAAGGTTGATAAAATGTCGGATTTTCATCCGCATCTGGTTGATACGAGGTTGAGGCTTCAGGGGGGTCGTTAGGTGGTTGTGGGGGGTTGAACTGAGACGGTACACCGTATGCGTCATATACCATTTGTTGGTCCCACCTCATTTCAGCACGGTCTCCCCACGCACTCATCTCTGGAGGGACGTAACGAGACGAACCTACCGTTTGTGGTATAACAGATGGATCCAAAGGTTCGCCGTGAGAAGTCCAATTATAATAATTGGGAACAAAACCGACCGCGTACAAATCATACCCAACTTCGTGTGGGTCTTTAAATTTGAGATTTTTACACTTTGAACATGGACATCTTATTTTATCACCACTCATATAAGCCGGATGTTCAAGTGCAAATTCAATAAATTCCCCGACTCCCTCGAGAAAATTTGATTGCATTCCGTACAATACCGCATCTTTATCATACATCCAACTTCTATTTTGTTTATACATTATGCCTGAATATTATAATAAAAAATTATATGAAATGCAATGCACACAATTTTAAGTAATTTATTTCACTAAATATAATCAACTAATTTTCACTTTTTTTAAATGAAATGCACAGAATTCTCAACAATAATGCACAAAATATATGTCCCCTAATGCACAATAATGCAGATAATTTCACTAAATTAAACATACGTTTAATTAAATCTAACTAATTCATTTAGTTAAATTTAACTAAATTTAACTAGTTCATTCCGTCCCCTTTTAATGCATCACTACGTTTAAACCTACGTTTAGCTACCTAATTTAACTTAATTAACACATCAATAGCTACGTTCAAACCTACGTTTAGCAAACGAATTTTAATTAAATTATTTTTGTAAACCTACGTTTAAACCTACACTAAATTATTACGTTAATGACATTTAATCTTATTAGTAATACACAATTAACAATTCACTAAATTAAATAATATGACCAAATTCAACCCAATAATTTGAACATGTATATAAAGTTATTTGAATTAATAAGCAATACACAATTCACAATAACAATTCACAATTCACTTAATTAACACATTACTAACGTACGTTATTTGAACTAATTTCACTAAACATAAACATCATTACGTTTTAAACCACATTTAGCTAACTAATTTTAATTAAATTATTTTAATTTATAAACCTAAAAGTTTAACTAATTCTAATTTATGACATTACTACGCTTATAGTTAAAACATGTTGTTAATTAATTAACAACCTCACTAATTTAATAGTTTTAATAATTGAAATTGAACCAACTAATTCTAAATAAAAATTATAATTCAAATAACATACCTTATCTGCATAAACAGGGAAAATGATAGAAGATAGACTACATCCTTCGATCTTTCAAACGGATACTGTATATACTGGGAATGAATTGGTGTAGTTCTGTTCAATGAGCTGCTCCTGCATATATAAAAAATTTAGTCACGGACTTAGTCACGGATTTGTCCGTCACTAAGCAAAACCGTGTCCAATACGCGTCCAACACGTGTTAATGACGTGTAAATGACGTGTTAATCAAAGTAGTCACGGAACTAGTCACGGATATGGCCGTGACTAAAATTTGGCCGTTGCGAATTAAGTTAAGGGAGTTGAAAAATTAAATTTTAATTATAGTCACGGGTATAGTCACGGATTTGGCCGTGACTAAGTCGTCGGAGTCAAATAAACTTCGCCGGAAACGGAAACGGACCTATCGGAGGACTTAAGTCACGGGCCAAGACCGTGACTAACATTAGTCACGGTCATAGTCACGGTCCAGACCGTGACTATTTTTTTTTAAATTTCCGTGACTAGTCCGTGACTAGACCGTGACTAAACTAGTCACGGACCAAATCCGTGACTAAAATCCGTGACTATAACGCTGTTTTTTTTGTAGTGATAAGTTATTACCATAAATAGGACTAAAATATTAAGAAAGATCCAAAATAAGACCCCTTGATGATTTATTATCCAAATAGGAGTTAGTAATTGAACAGGCTGTTCCTATTTCCCATTATACCCTCTTTTATTTGTTTCCCGTCAGAAACATCTCTTCCCAATCTTCCTTTTCTTCTCCATCCCCAAATAACTCTGCAATTTGCTCTTCAATTTCTCCATCCACTCTAGCACATTCATATCCAGATCTACACTTCAATTTCTCCATATCCAGCAGCAAAGGTTTAAACAGTTTTTTTTCTCCTTACCTCCGACCAGCGGCGGCAGTGACCATCATAGGTATTTAATCTTCTTTTCTCCTCCTCCTCCTCCCCCTCTTCTTCTTTTCTTCCCTTCTTCTTCTTCTTCTTCCTCCTCCTCCTCTTCTTCTTCTTCCTTCTTTTCCTTTGCTAGATGGCAAAGCTTTTGTTTCTTTTTCTTTTTAGAGCATAGATCTGCTACGTCATTAAAAATTTAAAATCAATTTCTGAAATGTTTTTTGGTTTATTTTCTTTTCCCTAGCTTTCCAGATCCGCATCTATCAAGTTCTGTTCTAGCTTTCTTCTCCTTTTTCTCTTTCTATTTTTCTTTCAGCTTTTATTTTTTTAAATTTTTATTTTACTTTTCACAATTTACAATAAGATAGTAATTTTTTATATTTATGGCAATCAACATTCAAAAAACAAGTATGACAATCATTTTTGCAACTCTTCAAATTGACTATTTTTTTTTGAATTCCAAATTGGCATAATCCTACCACTCTGTATTTTATGGCATTAAATGAAAACATTGAATATTATTCCTTTGAAAATACAATATCAATAATGCCATGTTTTTTCTATGTGTAAATATTATTTTGACATTTAATGCCATTTTGATAACACTAATTCTTTCTAGATGACAAAAACAATACAAATAATGACATGTTTTTTCAAACATAAAAATGTCATTAATGTCACATGAAATGTTATTAATGCCATATGGATGTCATTAATGACAATGTCATTAATGCCATATGAAATGTTATTAATGCCATATGTATGTTATTAATGACATATTTGCCTTTAAATCCAACATTTATAATGTCATT